TTGGGAGCCCCGCGTTGCACATTGACAACCTCAAATTAATACCACTGTCTCTCCTGTCCAGCAGTTGGGGAGACTTTGCGGTCTTGGGGGTGGGTGGGCGACTGCCCTGGGCTGGTCTTGTATATAGGAAACGCTGCGGGAGGAAAACGCAAGGACCCTGGGGGCGGTTGATTTGCAAACCGTTGTCGGGTTTTTGCTAGGAGAACCGGTTCGGGCTTTGTACAGGTTATTTAATAGTTTTGTTAAAGAATATAATAATTATAACATTAATTAAAACATACTCATTTTGTCCTCGGCCCCTGGCGGAGCTATTCAGCATGATATGTCTCTGTAAAGCGATCAGCAGTTGCAGCGTGAAAATAAATACCTTCCCTCTGGGGTCACCTCGGGAAGACCCCGCTGAGCCGGTCTCGTTTGATCTTTTCTGCTTCCGGGAGACTCTGCTAAGCGGTCAGGTTTCAGCTGGGTCGGCGGGCTCAGCCTGTGGCGGAGGCAGCTTTGGCTTGCTAAGTCCCTTGGGGCTAGCACGCGGATGCTAGGACAGACGTGGGGGGTGGCTTGGAGAAGAGGACTAGGCTAGGTTTGACGTCCACCGGCTTGACTGCGCCTTGGGGTCCCAGCCCTGGGACGCTCCCGGATCTCCCTGCTACCCGCGCCGTGGATGTTCTTTGGGTCAGGCAGGTTCCTACGGCTTGTGTTGGTGGGGTCCGGCATGGGCTGAGCCTTCTTTCTCCCGAGCCAGCCGCGGTGGTGTCTGGTTAGATTTTAGGCACTGGGAGACCTGGTAGGGGTTGGTGTTTGCCAACCGAGAGTTGAAGCGCTCTGAGTTGTCTTTCCGTATTTCAACTCCTTGGAGAGAGGCGACGTGCTGTGTGTGGCTTACTTCTGTCTTCTTTCCTTGCTGCGGAAAGCTTTTTTTAACTCTAGTTTCACAGTCACCACCTAGAGATTTCTGATTAGGCCTGGAGGCTTGATTTCATTTTGTGTCTTGGAATTTTTTTTTAAGCCACTGATATTCACTTGAGCTGTCTCAGGGGAGGAGCCTTGGGCTACTGTTTTCATCCAGATCTTTCGTCTTTCTCTAAAAGTTTGAAAACTTACAGGTGTGTTTTCAGCTACATGTTTTCTGCTGTTTGAGTTTTAAGATCAAACAGAGTTTAATCAGCAGTTCCATCTTGTTTAGAAGGAGTAAGGAACAGGAAATGAACTAAAATTGGTTAATACCTTCAAGTAAGCATCATTAGGGCCAAATTGCAAGGGATCTGAGAGACCTGTTGCTAAGATGTGAACCATCAGTCAAACTGAAAGGTAAGTTCGCCGATCTTTGAGGGCTTTGTCTTGACATCTGTGTTTAGAACACAAACACCAACGTAATTGGGAGGGAAATTACTTTGGAAATTCTGGAGACAGTGTTTTACTCTGGAACGTCAGATATGGAGTGGAACTGTTCTGTTTATTGACGGTGGGAATGTGAGGCTTCACCGGTTTCAGTTTCACTTGGGAAAAGCAGTCGGGGGTTAAAATTTCAAGGGCGTGGCACTTTTGCAGCCAGTAAGAACAAGCTGCTAGACAGTGAAATGACTCTACATCCACGTCTGTAATCAATCAACACTCAGATCTTGGCTTTGTTTTAGAAGATACAAGCAGGTGTATGAATCAGTGTGGACAGTTGTAAAAGCTCAACCTTACTTCTGAGCCTGCCCTGCCTTGCCCTGGGATCAACTTGCCAGTCAGGAAAGGTTTTCTGGCAGCTGGTGGGGGTGGGGAGGGGCGGCGGATAAAGAGTTCTTGTAGGAAAGGGAAAAGGCTTTGGTCTCAGAAATTTGGAAGTGATTCTTCCATGTGAGCAAAAGCCCTTGAAAGGGAAGAAAAAAGGGAATTTTCAACTGAATCTGCTACCTGTTGTTGACAGCTAGGGCCTTTTACTTAGTATCCAAACAGATGAGGTGTTGAAATTCAAGTTCCCTTAATAACCTTAACTTTGTGGCTTGTTCATGGAAAAAAAATAGATGAAATATATCAAGTTTGACACCTGAGATGTCAAAGATAATTTTTAAAACCGTTTTGGTGCATAACAGGTAAACTATATAAAATATTTCGAATTCACCAAAAATACATATGCGTAGTTTCTTTTTTTGTTTATTTTGTTTTCATGCGTTGTGTCTTGACAAAATCGCTCTCTTATGGTTTCACTTAATGAATGTGCAGAATTTTCAAGTAGGTAAAAGTATGGCCTTTAGATTAACATACTACAGCAGAGAAATTGTTGCTCATTTTACCACTGCAAATCTGTGTTCCAGTTACATAGGGGGAAAATATATATTCCAGGATCCAAGTCAGGAAGCTACAGTAAGGTTAGTATTTTCCAAGTGTAGGGAAGCATATTCTGTTACTAAAAAAAGGTAACAAATGCTGGGAAATACAAGTTTGACGATGCAGAAATTACTGTAGTTTACAAACTGTCCGAGTCTTAATTTTTAAATACACCAGTATGCAAGAACTAATGCTAAACATTACTGAGTATAGCTTAGGCATAAATTAGCACATTTATAATACAAAATATAATTAAATTCAAATGAAAAGAAGAGAAGAGCAAATTACTATTAAATAAATGCTGAAATTTATTTTTAATTAGAGATTACCAGCATCAGAAAAGCAAGTTTAATCCACCAATTTTGTACCAGGCTTTTCTTAAAGATCCCAGCACACAAAGTTTTAAAAACTGAAGAGAATGTTAATGACTGTCTCAAATGTCAGTAGACATTTTAGGTATTTAAAAAACAAACAAAACACAGTTAGTGGTTTAGTGGTTTGATGTCTTATTTTAATGAATTATAAACTTCATGTGATATATTTTAAATTTAACCCTCAATGTATGAAGGAATTTTTCTGATCAAAAATTAGAAGCAGTGAAATTGAGTTAACAGTGTATTCGCTAAGTTGGTAACACTTTGTAGTCCCACCCAATTTGTCGTAGCTCTGATAATGAAAGTTAATTATGTTAAAGAAAGTACAACTATTGTTCACCTCCATGTTAACATTTTCTAGATAATTTAAATCTTATAACTAAGAACTACAAAAACGTTCATGGGATAATTGAATCAAAATGCAGGTTTATTTATGTGAGAAAGTTTTGAAGTCCCTGCATAGTTTTTCCAAGATGTTTTGCATGAACTTTCTGCATACCTAAAATTACTTTCAATTGTTCTTTCCTAAGTCAATGAAGACAGACGTGGTGATTAGAAAATATATCTGGCTGAGCCTGCTTCTTGTGGAATCTCATTGGAAATAATGACATTTGTGGAAAAAGTAGCTTCCACCCCAACTTGTACTATTTTTTTTTTCTATTTTAATACTTGGATTTAAAAAGTCAGTTTCGTGCAGCATGTTCAGTGTTTCCCACTTATTTTAGTTCTGCTGTGAAAGTGTTTCAGAATATGTTTTTAACAGTAGCTGTGACTCCAAACTCACACAAGCAAAGAGTTGTTGAGGGCTCTGCGATTACAAACCTGCTTGACCTGCCATCCCACGGTATGCTGCTGAAGACACGTTCAGGGAAACTGACAGTATCTTGTCAGGAATACCCTGTGCTGTGGATTCACATCCAAACCTCACCCGTTGCTTTACAGTAAATGTGATGACAGCTTTCTTGTGTGCTGGGTTGAAGGCCACTCAGAACAAGCCGTATTTATGTTCTGTTGAATAGCATTATCTTCCTCTGGTTTGAGTCAGAGAGAGGAACTGCACCAGACCCAGGGCAGTTTTGAAATGTTCCATGCTTGACATAGTTTGACAGAGTAGGAAAAAAAGAGAGAGAGAGAGAGAGAGAGAGAGAGAGAGGAGTACACATTCAGAAGGACCCATGTCGATAACGGGGTGTATATTTAGATTCATACACCAAAAGGATATGCTTGATGAGGGGCCCCTGGAAGGGTAGCCTAATTAAGGTGCCAGTTGGTGTATGTGATGGATTGGTGAATTCTCCAGTGCTGTTCAGCTCAACACAATTTTATATAAAGGTGTCACTTGTTCTTCCTTTGATTGTTTTAGAGAATTTGGTATGTCACCAGTGATAAAAATTAAATTCAATTAATTTGGAGGCATTGCAAAAATAACTTGCATTCCTATCATGAACAAGTGACATTTGTTTAACAAAAGGTGTTAGCAGCTTTGGGTCACTGCAACTTTTTTCTAAGAGCTTTATAATTTCTTATTTTCCAGGTGAAAATTTGTACATGGTTGGTACAGTAGAGTTAGCTTCATGCTGACATTTTGATGACTTCCCTTTCTGGATGTTACACATTTTACCTTCCAGGTCTTTAATGACTGAAGTTTAATCTTCCTTGGGATATTTAATTATTAATTCAATGCTTACAAATAAACTGCAGTAGATTTGCACAGCACATAAACAGAGTTGACTAACACATGGTATCTTAGCATGCGTCAAAATGCAGTGAAGAGGCAGTCTAATTCTTGGTGTGATACTACATGGGAAATCTGCAAAATTGCGGACGATTGCTTCAAAATTCGGAAGGTTCAGTCTGTCTTTTAGCAAATGCAAGTTTTGCACTGAAACTGTTCCACCTACTTTTTCCTCATTACCTACCAGAATTCCGAAGTCAAAAATAATGTCGAATGTCCTGGAGCCTGGGGGAGACTGTGGCACCTGCTTTTTTCAAATAGAAAGTTAACATTGAGTCCTATGTGTGCTTTGTGATGATTTTGCGTTCGTGGGTATCTGAACCACAGATGGGGCACATCTGGCCCACAGCCTCATTTCATCTGCTTTATGAGACACATAG